CTATGAAGTGCTCCACTATTTATAGCTTTCTAGAGAATGCAGAAATTCACTTTTCTTTTCTCCTGTGATGTACAGATGATCTAAGAGTGAGTTTTTAAATTTTCAATTAGATATGATTTGGGTTTTTTTTGTTTTTGTTTTTTTTTAAGATTTATTTATTTATTTATTTATTTATTTGAGAGAGAGAGAGAGAGAGAGAGAAACCACATGAGAGGGGATAGGGTCAGAGGGAGAAGCAGGCTCCCCGCTGAGCCGGGAGCCCAATGTGGGACTCGATCCCAGGACTCCGGGATCATGACCTGAGCCGAAGGCGGTCGCTTAACCAACTGAGCCACCCAGGCGCCCTAGATATGATTTGTTTTATGTGTCACACGTTAATGGTCTGTTTCTCATTTTCTTAGATTATGAGCAAAGAATGAAGCTGGTAGAATATCTCCCTTCAACTGATTTTCTTGGGTTTTCTTAATGGCCATTACAGGACAGATTTTTATAATGTTCTAAGGACAAACAGTTGTTTTGAGGGATTTGATATATAGAATGAGAAATATGTATAAATGTATACACATAATCAGGTTTATTGATATTATTATTTAATTTTCATATATTCTCATTTATTCCTTATTAGATCTACCCATTTCTGAGAGGCCTATTTTGAAGCATTATATTGTGGTAGTGTTTTATTTCATTACTGTTAGTTTTTGCTTTATATATTTAGCTGCTGTGTTGTTTGGCACATACCAGTTGGCAACTGTCACTGCTTCATAAATTGTGCCATAACAGAATAAGGTCCTATCTTTCCCATCTAGTACTTTTAAGCCCTCCCAACTCGTTCTCATTTTTACTGAGATTCTTTATCCTGTTGGCTGTAGGTCAGTGTTTCTCAACCTTCTCTTCATTATCACCTTACTAAGGGAGACTTTTTAGACATTTTTTTCCTAAACCTGCCACCCCATGAGATTTTAATACCATAGATACATTGCATATTTCTTGTATGTATATATGTGTTTTATTTATAAAAAGAGTAACTTATATACACATACACAAACCAACTCAGCCCCTTTTGGGTAATAGTGCCTCCCATTGAGAATCACGTAATAGATTCTCAGTAGAGCAGTAGAACTTCCCTTGTGTCTGTTCTATTTCAAGAATCCTTCTTTATCAGGTACATCAAACACATATCCATATCCTGTTGCTCATCCCTTGTTCTTCTCCCCTTCATTGTCCTCAGTGGTGGGTAGTGTTATTTGATTAGAGTCTTTCCTCGAATATGTTCCTCATATGGGTCATGTAGGTAATATAGTCTCTAAATGTGTATACATCTGCAAATATTTCTCTTTTTTGACCCTGGCAGGTAAAATCTTTGGGTAAAGCATTCCCTTGCTCGAGTTTGTTCTTCCAGAGTCTGAGGCCACCATGTCCTGGCTTAGTGTTGCAGATCACTGGCTCCATGCCCATCTGATCCATTTTGCTCGAGAGATAACTCTTTTTGTTTTGTTTTTGGCCAGAAGTTTGTAAGAATTTCTCTTTCTCCTTGGTGTTGGATTGATTTCATAGAATGTGCCTAAATATGTCTTTCCACATTACATTTGCCTTCATCTTCAATTATCTTTTCAACATGTAGATTTGGGCCTTTCCTCAAGTGGGACGATTTCTCTTCTGTTACTTGAAAGCTTATTTTTTCTGCCTCTTGTTTTCTTCCAACACATCTATTAGCCACATGTTATATATTCTCAATTTATCTATCACCCTTTCTTCCCTTATCAGCCTTATGTTTTCGTGTGCGTGTGCGTGCATGTGTGTGCTTTGAAATATTTCTCCTGTTAGATTTTCAGACCACTAATTTGGGTCTCAACAGTGGCCATGCTATTCTTTAATTATTCTTCTAATTTAATTATAAAATCATAGAGCATCAGTCCCAGCCATACTTGTCTGTCCTTGAGTACTTACATTGTGTTTTAGCTCTAGCTCTGTCTTCTCGAGTAGCCTGTATCATCAAGTGCCCAGTGCATTCAAGCATCTTCTCTCTTGTTGGGCCCCTTAAATACATCGATATTTGACTTTTTCAGATTATTAGTGGCTTCTTCCTTTTAGGTGAAGGAGGGGAAGTATTAGGTAGTTAACTAGTTCCCCTCAATACTTCATACTCCAACCCCTAGGCAGGCTGCCTGGGCTTAATTGGCTTAAATTGCTCAACATGCCTCAGCCACTGACTGTCTTCAAGATGATTTATTTAAGTTTGAAATGTTACCTAATGTTTCTCACCAGGAAGGGCAAGTTTTTAAATTAGTTGACCCTTGAGCAACACGGGGGTTAATGGGGCGCCAACCCGCTGCATAGTCAAAAATCTGCATATAACTTTCGACTCCCCCAAAACTTAATACTAAGAGCCTCCTGTTGACCAGAGGCCTGACTGATAACAGAAGTAGCCAACTACACATATTTTGTATGTTATATGTACATTAAAGTAAGCTAAGAAAAAAATGTTAAGAAAATCATAAGGATGAGAAAACACATTTACAGCACTATACCGAATTTATTGAAAAAAATCTGCAGATAAGTAGACCCATGCAGTTCAAACCCATGTTGTTCAAGAGTTTCTGATGTTTAAAAGCCAAGGGGCTTTTTATTCCTTTATGAAAACACAGTGAGAGTATTTAACTCGGAAAGCAGTTAGCCCTTACTGCAGATCTCGGCATAGAGTAGGTGTTTCAAACCTTGGTTACTACATTCCGAATGTCTTAGCAAAAATGTGTAGACAGGAAGGTAAGATACTGAAAACAGGGGAGAAGTTCCCCCCAAGACCCAAGTTCATTACAGTAAGCACTATAATTAACAATTTTAAAAATCCTTGGTGTAAGTCATCAGCACATACTAATAGGAAAAATAAGCTTTATTTAATGACAGTCTGCCAGTATCTGTGAATTTGGGAGTTTCTATTTTCATCCATGTTTGAGAGTTCTGGTCTTCATTTTAAATCTTATAAAAATAACATAGTGGGAATCGATTTAAGGCACAGAGCCAGAAATACAGATAGGTTAGAAGATCTCTTATGTTTCATTGGTGCGATATATATTAACAGAGAGAGAGAAAAAAAATGCATTTGTGTAAAAATACCGGCCCATTACTGGTGGGGTCTCATGAAACACAAAGCACATAAGCTATTTCTCTGTGTGAAGGGGAAGAATACAAACAGTGAACAGTTTGCATGACTGTGGAATGACCACGAGGCTGGGCTCCAGAAATCTGGGCCATGCAGACATCACCAAGCCTCCAAGGGTGTGTGACAAGATTATAGTACGCAAGTCGGTGGGGTACGAGAGCTGACAAGGAAGGTCGTGTTGGCGATAACCCCGCAGGAAAACAACACCGCCCCGCCACCTGGAGGTCCCTCTCGGCCTGTGTTGGGGCCCCTGGCTGCCAGGGCCCTCCCCTCTCCTGCAGGAAACTTGAAATCCACGTAGACCCTGCAATCTGCAAGGCAGCTGCTGTTTTCTTTCTTCTGTCCTCTGCCTCTCTGAGTGTTTCTCTCTTTCTCGCCTACCCCTCCCCCATCTCTTTTAAATGAGCAGTGGACACCAGCCTGCTGCACTCATTCCACACCTCCCCAGAGCACCTGCTCTGCTGGGAGCCTGCCTCCAGGCTCTGGGTGCAGAGTACCTCCTGAGCTCCACTTTGGGCATCCTTGATTTCCATACTTAGTTAGAGGAAAAGGAAGCTTTGGTGCCTGCCTTGGGGTGCAACTCCCACCCTCCCCTCCGGTACCCAGGGATGACAGAGCTTTGTCTGTGCAGGGCTGGATTATGCCAGGCGCTCCCCCCTGCTATGTGGCCCTAGGAACTGCCATGCTGGCTCACTCTCCTTACCTTCCAAAGTCTTAGGCTTTAATCTTTGGCTCCTCTGTTTTCTGAGGCTGAAGTGCAGGAATCATGCGCTACATCCACATCCTCCATGCCCTCCGCCATCCTTTGTACCGAATCATTATTAATGGTCCATTCTTATCAAAGCAGGATAAGACTTTGCCACCTGGGGGCCATTAAGACCAAAGCCTTATTGCCTGTCTGACGCCGGAAGGCATTTGAGTTTGTGGCTGAATAACAAAGATCTGAAAAATCAATAAATGAAGACCAATTCCTTTTATGATAAGGAGAGGGAGTCTGTGAACACACACAAGGGAAAATAAACAGGATAGGGTTGGGGTCCACTAGCCTGAGATGGTGTAATTGCTAAGGACCTACCTCTACACAGAGTCTCCCGGAGATTAAAATTTTCTATAAAAATTTAATGCTTGTGAAAATCTTATGTAAGCAAAACCTTTATGTTTTATTTTGTATTTTTATTCCAGTCATTTTTGGGTTGTGCTAGGAATGACAGGTTGCTAGGCAGAGTGTTAGTTGATTTCTGTAAAACGGGTTTTAAACCAGAAGGTGAATTCAGGTAAATCCCTGATGAGTAGCCATGACTTTCCCCATCAGAGCTTCCACTGAAAGGATACTTACCTACTACTAATTCCTTTAATTCTCACACAAAAAAAAAACCTTTTAAAGTAAATGCTAATTTTATCTATGTTCTACTGAGGAAGAAGCTGGAGATTAGTGAGAAGAGGCACAACTTGTAAATTGGAAAACCAGGTGGAATCCAGGTCTCTCTGGGCCCAAATACAACTGTATATTATTCCCTGCTTCCTCTTCACGTGTAGATAACGGCAGAATTCATGGAAAAGTAAGAGAAGGGTAGATTTGCACTGTAGCATTGAACTTGGGATTACAATCATTGTTGAATCACACAGCACTCGAGAAAACATAATGTAATCTGCGTTCGTGTTACTACTCCGGTTCTAGAACTCTCTTGAAAGAAGTTTCCATGAATATCAACTGCTGAAGTGGTTGCCTTTTAAAATTTGAATGAATAGTTTTAATTTTTAATAAGTTTATTTATACTTTTTTTAAAAGAGCATACTGTAGGTTTTCTGACTTTCCTCGTCTCTGAATATTTTTTTCTAGGGTCAACGTCTTTTCGAAAAGTTGCTCCAACTGACTTCGCAAAATATCGAAATCAAGCTAGTGAGTGATGTGACCGCAGACTCAAAGGTATTAGAAGCCTTGAGATCAAAGGGTAAGGCCAAGGTCGCTGCGCTACTCTAGCCCTGGGGGGTCTGTGAGGACATCTCTCATTCTGCTTAAAATAATGTGTGATTTCTTGATGGTCAGCACATTGCACGAAGTTCACTTCTTATTTCTTCTTTGAAAAATAGCGTGATTAAAGTCTTTAAACGAGAGAACTAATTAATACTACTGGGAGATTTTAAATAGTGTTGCATATTAGTTTATGCAAAATAATCTACTGGCCATTAAATGATAATTAACTAGAAAGAAGAATCTTTCCCTCTCCCTCTCTGAACACTGCAATGATATGATTAAAGAGCCATTTCTCATTCAAACAAACATTGGATTTCTGTTTTTCTCTTGCCCTTCAAATGGAAATCCTCCTCATGCTCCATCTTTTTAAAAATAATACAGTCAGATGTAGGTGTCTGCAAAACCGGGCTAATTCCACAGAGAACATCATTCATAGGCCACTCTGCAGTTTGTCTCAAAATTCCATGGAGACCGGGAATCCTTAGGAAATAACTTTCTTCACTTTGCTGGTTTGCTGGGTCTTCACTAACGCAACTGTCCCTTCCAAATACTTTTCATGGATTTATCAAATGTTGGCCCTGCCTTTCCTATTGGAGCTGTAAGCCTCTGAACGGAAATGGCAGGCATGAGCCAGTGAAAATGCTCGAGCTGCCCCCTGTCCCCGGGAGAAGACGAGGCTCTGGCCCCAGGAAGCGGCATTGCGTCTCCCGTGTGTGCTGTTTAAACATGCTGGACAGTGCTGCTTCTTATCTTCCCCAGATTATTAAGTGAAAACACCTTCTGAAAAATGTGCCAGGCTATGAAGCAAAGGGTGAGCCCAAGTAGTCTTTCCTTCTGCAGAAGAAAAGTTGGGAGCAATAAAGCCTATGGAAAGACATAAATATACAGAAGACATAAGTGTGGTCGGGCACAGGTGTATTAGTTTTTCCCTGCATGGGAAAATCAAGGTAACTTAGGAGCTACTGTTAGGCCTGTAAAGCTTCACTCTACTACCTGAGCACAGGATAATATTTTTGAAACGCTAGAAAATACGTAGTTAACGCAAATTAGAAGTGTATTCTTACTTTTCCTATTTAGAAAATGTGAGATTGGGTTCCCACTATCTGAAAATCTGTTAGCCGGATTTTTAGGAATGGATTACTTTTGGCTAACTCTGGGTGCCTGTATTTGCTGATAAATTTCCCATGGTGTCTACTTCCATACTAACACACACGCGCACACACACACACACACACCACATATACAAACACATACTACGTATACATACACACCACATATGCACATACGCACACCACATACACACACACCCAACCTCTTCTTTCACCTGAAACTAATAAAATATTGTATGACAACTATACTTCAGTTATAACAATTAGAAACAACTGTGCAGGACTAAGGGGTGTTTCAGGTGCTGGTGAATATTGGGTATTCGAGACATTCATTTACTACAAATGAATTTATGGGTAAAGTCCTTGCCTATGGTTCTAGAGTGAACTATGAATTAAAGTTTCATTATAACCATTGCTTCTCACAAAGAAGGAAGTGTATCAATTTCACAGTAAATATTATGTATTATTACAACTTAGGCTCTGGTAATGTGTGATAGGAGTTCTTATCAAAACAGAACAGATAATTTCCCTTTACAATCGGAGAGTAATGAACAGGACCCGGATTTCTCATAGCTATCCCCTGTGTGCCTCTGGGAGGTCTGTCTGGCTTCTGTTACTGGCATAAATATGGCACCACATACATTCATTACTGCGACTGTATTTCTCTCATCCTCTGGCAGAGACATATTAAATAATAACAGTGCCTTTTAGAAATATTTGTAATGGAACCATTTCATTTAATGAATTAATTAATTTTTGTGAAATCATTTTAAATCTGGGTTGGAATACATTTCTTTAGAGTTATGAGACTAGCCATGAGCCACTTCAGCTGGGAGAAGTCACTGGCAATAGAAGCTGGTCAGTACATGGTGAGAAGGGGTGAGTGAGGCTTCCCCAGGAAGTGGTGAGGATTTAGTGCAGGTGTGGGCCCAAGGAGGGCCAGGCAGGCCCGCCAGGCCTCAGAGACCTTCCTGGAGGCAGGGAGATTCCGGTTGCTCACTGTTGCCCCTGCTGCCCACCCGGGGCCCCTCCTCCACTCACAGGATTCCGATGTGAGGAAGGTCACCCCCCACAAATGCCTCACACTGTGGCCCAGAAATGCGGTGCTTATGCTCAAGAAGTCCATGAGCCAGGGAGGGATTTCATTTTAGACAAGACTCCCTGTCAGTTCAAACATTTATGCCACTGACTGACCTTCTCCACTCGTCCCTGTAAGCATCTGAAATGTGGCACGTTGGCTTAGCTGATGCTCTTCCTTCCCTCCCTTCCAGCCACAACCCCTTGAGCTGGGTTCCCACATGCCCAGCCACTCCTGTGCGCGTCCACATCAGAGAAGACACTCTGTATGATGTGTGGAAAGTACCCCAGAAATTGTTTTTCATAGAAATAAACTTGCTTTCTAAATCTGGAGGCGTTTCGGTTGCCTTCACGGGTTTTGTTTTTGGATTTTATCAGCTCCCAGTTGTCTTGGCTGGAGGATTAGTCAGAAAGGCATGTGTTCAAAGCTGAATGGGCAGCGTATGGGAAATGGCTTCTGGCTGCCTCATGTGGGACTGTCACCAAGTCCTGCTTCTTCACCCTCACCCGCCTGCACGTGGGGCCTACCGTGGCTAGGGGTGACTGCACCATCCCCTGCTTTTGTCTCCCAGCAGGTGCCTCGGTGCCGGACCGCAGGCTGGTAATAGCACAGTAATGCTGTTTTGTACTGCTAACACAGTGTTTATTTCTGGCTGTGTCTTTTAATCATAGGTGAAATATTATTTCTCAGTCATACTATGTGTTTTTCTAAGGCTGTGTTTTTTGGAACAGTTTTAAGTTTACAACAACATTGAGAGGAAGGTATGGAGATTTCCCAGGTACCCCTCACCCCAACACATGCACAGCGTCCCCCGTCATCAACATCACTCACCAGTGGGGGACATGTGTTACCAAGGATGAGCCTGCCTCGGCACTTCATCATCACCCAAAGTCCAGAGTTTACCACAGTTTATACATTCTCCGGGTTTGGACACATAGGTAGTGACCTATATCTACCAATATAACATCATACAGAGTATTTTCATGGCCCTAAAAATCCTCTATCCTCTGCCTATCTGTATCCTTACCTACTGTGTTTTTAATCCTCAGACTCTGTTATTATTGCAGTGAAATTTATAATTAAGAATTTTTTTTGTCTTTCAAAACCATAGCAATTCAGGGTATACTTTCTATAATATGACAAAAACATTTGCTCCAGGAGCATACCAAAAATTTAGACTAAAATAATGTTAAGCTAGAAAATATAAATTTCCTTTTGGGAAAAACCAAGCTTTTACTTGTTCACTCTTGGATGATAACTTTTTAATAGAATGACTCTCATGAGATAAAAGTCAGAAAGGATTAAAGTCAGTGATCTAAAAATAAAGTCCACACTAATTTAAAAAGCAAAGTACTTGAAAACATTCAGGATCCGAATGTCCTTTTCAGTCTCATTCATACCAATTTCTGTTGTTGGCTTTCCAAATATCTGAATGATAGTTGTGATTTCTCAAATACAGCCTGCTTTTCCAGGGCTCTGTTAGCTAACACATACTTGATATACCCTCTCTCTCCTTGTCGATTTGTGAGCTCCTGTTCATCCCTCAAGGTCCATTTTAAGCCTTACTCATAACGTTGCCTTCAGACTTCCTTTCTTTTCCACAGTTGGTCTTACCATCTTCTTTTCCTCCATTGTGCATTTATTATTCATTCAACAACCACTCCTTGAACATCTGACAGGTGCCAGGAAGCTGGGCTTTAAAGCTAGAAAACTGACGGGGCACCTGGGTGGCTCAGTCGTTAAGCGTCTGCCTTCGGCTCAGGTCATGATCCCAGGGTCCTGGGATCGAGCCCTGCATCCGGCTCCCTGCTCAGCGGGAAGCCTGCTTCTCCCTCTCCCACTCCCCCTGCTCATGTTCCCTCTCTCGCTGTGTCTCTCTCTGTCAAATAAATAAATAAAATCTTAAAAAAAAAAAAAAAAGAAAGCTAGAAAACTGACAAAGGCCTGACCCTTCCACTGACTTCAGAGAGTTTACAGTTTGCTGGAGTAGATTGCCATGAGTGAAATAAAATGATCAAGGAATTCTTGAAACATCTACACAGAGTCCAATTTTTCTGAATCACTTTTTGTGTCTGAGTCATGCAGCCCTGTGTTTTCTACCCTGCATAGTCTCTGCACTATCAAGATGTGGGTGGTGCTCTAACTTTAGAAACAGACGCTCGACTATTGTCTCTTTTCTCTGAGCAGACTTCCGTTCTGCTTGTTTCTGAACCTTACCACAAAATGTCAAAGGAAGATACAATCCTTCCTCAAATACAATCCAGGCCACACAGACCTTCCTTAAACAGTCCTTAAATGGTTTGTTGACCGAATATTGAGAAACTGCAGGAGCACTGTCAGGCCACCAGGAATAACAGCCAAGATTTGAAGTGACAACTCAGTTACAACCGCCACCCCCTCTAAGCGATCGTAAGATGCATCCCAACGTCAGAGTCATTAAAATGTGAAAATGGCAGGTTTTAGAACCAGTGACATAGGGTAATAAGGGTTACTTTAAAATTCAGCAATAAATTAAAAAATCCCACTTAGCAACCCTTAGCTTTATACTTAAATTAACTTAAATGAAAACCTATCATTCCTAATACTGCACTGGGGGAGGTGGATTCTAGACCATGCCTCTTGTCACAAGGCTTCTTTCTGGGGCAGTAGGCCAACCTCTGAGCAGAAATTTGGAGAATTCAGGCTCTGCTGGTGTTTTGGAAATACTGGGATGTGTTTACCAGAACTCTTGATGGCAAGTGCATTCGCTGATAGGAAATGTTCCTGTCCGAACGAATGAACGAACAGAAG